GAGTGTTAGTTCTTGCTAGCGAGCAGAACGAAGCTTCGGAAGTTTGGCCGCGTGCGGAGGAGTTCCCGACGTCCAAAAGTCACGATCTTGATATGGAAAGATATAGATACTTGAGTCATGCATCACGTCGAAGTGGAATGAAGCCATTTGGATCAACCATAAGGCCGGAACTTATTTTCTACCGAGACATGTCCGGTAAGCGAGCAAACGAAGCCCATGGAGGATTTGGAGTGTCTAATGGCCCGAGCAGCAGCGCCCAAGGCCTTGAATGAATAAGAAGAGGCCTGGCTAATGTTTGGAGCTTTCTTGGTACAATGTCGGCCCATACACGACGTGGAGGAGAGCTCGGCTCATGGGAAACATTTCCTTTTTCCGGCATGAAGAAAACCCTACTCGACTTCGCCCATATATACATGTTTTTAGCCGCTGAAGAAGGAGGATCGAGCGTGTGAGTTTGTGAGAAGAGAGTCCAGAGAAGAGAGCCGCCAGGAGAGAAGCCCTAGGAGGTCGTCTAGAAGAAGGAGGCGCCGCTCAACTCTTGTTCTTTCTTGTTTCATTATTTCCATTTCTTTGTATTTTGATTCTAAGAGTTTCAAGGGAGAATCCGACTTTGTTCATCAATAGAGAAGCTTTCTTCATCCCTTTATCTCTTTTAATACTTGCATAATGCTTTCAATCATGCTTTGCTTGCTTGTTTGCATCATGGCCGAGTAGATCTCTTAGTTAGGCCGAGGAGATCTATGGTGGCCGTGATGATTTGATTGTGTTGCAACTTATTGGGATTTATCTTATGGATCTTCACCTTTACTTGAACTTAATGCATGATTACTCTACCGTACATCTAGTAATCTGATCTTAGAGAAATAGAACCACGACAGTGCTGAATCTAGATCTCGAACCTAGTATTTGGTGAGCAATGGGTCATGGCCAACGAAAGTTGAGTTATGGTTCATTGTGAACAATTGAATCTTGATCACCTTTAATGCATGTTTGCAATACTAATAGCCAACGAAAGCTGAGTATATTAGGTTGTTTTAAACATAGTGGTTGGAGCCACGAAGTGGAAAGACCATACACTAGTGATTCATGTTCAAGACGGCTTTACACAAATCCCATGCAACTATCTTTTCATCATTGCTCCATATGATTGTCCTTTGCCTAACTCTTGTTTTAAATTGTTTACAACCTCACTCATATTTCTCTTTGTTTTGTTTTCTTATTTAGGTCCAAAACCATCCAATATCACGAGCTAGCTACAACTCAATCCACAAGGTGTTAAGCGAGAACACTTCCTCCTTGTGTTCGACCCCGACTACAACGCGGCTGTGCACTTGCAGCTCAACTAGTTGGGTTTAAAAATTGTGAAAATTTGAGGCAATCTAAACCCGCATCACTTGGATGATAGCTCTCACCTTGGGAAAGGGTTAGCTAGGCTTGAGAAGCTTAATACCAAGAGATAGCTTGAGTACAAGATGTTTAAGAGCAAGGTTGATTTAGTATAGCCTCTCTCGAGCTGCAAAACCCTGTCTTTAGCCCTAATCCCCGTCTTAATAGTTTAAAGTTTGCACCTTTATCGCTTTACATTGCATTTCCTCTGTTTTTACGCTAACTCGACCCTCGACTTAATCAAGCTCAGTTACTCTGTTTCTACTCGATCGAGCTCTTGGTCGAGCTGCCTTGCATTTATTTGTTTCTTGCATTTTCATTTCATTTTAGGTTGTTAGTTGCTACATCCATCCTGTTAATCAATTGGCTTGACTTTCTTGTGTTTGCATATTCTCATAGAGCAGCAAATTACCCATTTGGATTGATAACCTCTTATACTACATGATTATGATGATAAAGAGGAATTGATTGATTGTGATTGCATCTGTTTACCATACCATCTCATCTACATTCCACTTCACTTGCGTCCATCTCATACTATACTTTCATCACCATCCACGTAACATCCTTTCATCAATTTGGCGCTGTTGCCATTTGGGTTTGTTATTGTTGCATTTGAGTTTTCAAATCACTTAGACGATCAAGCACTATCCCACCTTTTGTTACTTGTACTGCTGGGTTTTTGACTGTTTTGCAGGTGTATGCGAACTCGATCAAGCTCATCTACAGAGGCCTTGGTCGAATTAGACATCAACATAGACAGAAAACAGAGAAAGAAGAGCCAGAGGCAACAAGTTGAGTCAGAGGTGGTTGTTACTGATACAATGAATGATCCTGAGGGTAATGGAAACCCTTTGGGTAATGGAAATGGTCGAGCTAGGCAGACGAGACCGATTGGGCTTGGAGATGCACCAAACCGCCACCAACAAAGACAAGGGATTGTCCCTCCTCCTGTCCAGAGCCACAACTTCGAGATCAAGCTGGGTATGATCAATCTGGTGCAGAACAAGATGTTCCATGGGTTGTCTTGTGAAGACCCAATTGACCATCTTGATGAGTTTGATAGGTTGTGTGATCTGACCAAGTCAATGGTGTCTCTGAAGATGTCATCAAGCTGAGACTCTTCCCTATGTCTCTTGCTGACAAGGCTCACCAATGGGAGAAGAGCCTGCCCCATGGTACAACCACCACATGGGATGAGTGCAAGAAGGCGTTTCTTGCAAAGTTCTTTTCAACTGGGCGCACAGCCAAGCTAAGGAGTGAGATCTCAGGCTTCACTCAGAGGAACAATGAGTCTTTTCTCTCGACACTCTATAGAGGATGTTTGCCTAGATACAGAGAGATGCTAGACATAGCCAGGAATGAAAACTTTCTCAATCAGGATGTAGATGACGGCTGGCACCTTGTGGAGAACATTGTTAACTCAAAAGGGAGTTATGGAGAGGAGTATGACCGCACAAACCGGAGCTTGACCCACCACTCGAGTCAGATGACAAACTGAGAAAAGAAGTGAAAGCACTGAATGAGAAGTTGAATAAACTTATCTGAGCTCAATCCACAATGAAGAAGGTCAATTTTGTGACTGTTGAAGAGATAGTTCCTGTTCAAGAAGGGGAGGATACACAATTTGCTGAAGTTTGTTACATGACCAATGGACAAGGAGGCTACAACAAAGGGTATTACAACTACAATACCAATCCAGCCATGTCTTACAGGAACGCAGACGTAGCCAACCCTCAGGATCAGGTTTACCCACAACAACAGCAGGCTCAATGGAGTTAAGCTCCTCAACAAGGGTATAGTCAGAAAAACAATTACCAAGGACCTCAACGGACTTTCCCTGGACAGCTGATATCACCATATTTTACATGATTTTACTATATAATTTACTATGTTTTCAAACGGTTTTTGCAAGATTCTTTGCCTTTAGAGGTAGTTTTCTTGTATTTGTGGGATTTGAAGTCTTTGTAGGTGAAACCATCAAAAAGGATGCAAAAAGGAGTAAAAGAGCCCTAAATCAAGATCCATGCAAGTTTCCAAGTCAAGAAGATCATTTTATCTCCAAGTGTTAGTTCTCGCTTGCGCGCAGAACGAAGCTTCGGAAGTTTGGCCGCGCGCGGAGGAGTTCCCGACGTCCAAAAGTTACGATCTTGATATGGAAAGATAGATACTTGAGTCATGCATCACGTCGAAGTGGAATGAAGCCATTTGGATCAACTATGAGGCCTAGACTTATTTTCTACCGAGACATGTCCGGTAAGCGAGCAAACGAAGCCCATGGAGGATTTGGAGTGTCTAATGGCCCGAGCAGCAGCGCCAAAGGCCTTGATCGAATAGAGAAGAGGCCTGGCTAATGTTTGGAGCTTTCCTTGGTACAATGTCGGCCCATACACGACGTGGAGAAGAAGGCTTTGCTCATGGGAAACTTTCCTTTTCCGGCATGAAGAAAACCCTACGCGACTTCGCCCATATATACATGTTTTTAGCCGCTGAAGAAGAGAGTCGAGTCCGAAAATTATCAAAGAGTGTACGTGTGAGAAGAGAGAGAGGAGAGAAGCCCTAGGAGATCGTCCAAGAAGAAGGAGGCGCCGCTCAACTCTTGTTCTTTCTTTTTCATTGTTTCCATTTCTATAAACTTGATTTAAGAGTTTTCAAGGGAGAATCCGACTTTGTTCATCAATAGAGAAGCTTTCTTCATCCCTTTATCTCTTTTAATACTTGCATAATGTTTACAATCATGCTTTGCTTGCTTGTTTGCATCATGGCCGAGTAGATCTCTTAGTTAGGCCGAGGAGATCTATGGTGGCCGTGATGATTTGATTGTGTTGCAACTTATTGGGATTTATCTTATGGATCTTCACCTTTACTTGAGCTTAATGCATGATTACTCTACCGTACATCTAGTAATCTGATCTTAGAGAAATAGAACCACGACAGTGCTGAATCTAGATCTCAAAACTAGTATTTGGTGAGCAATAGATCATAGCCAACGAAAGCTGAGTTATGGTTTATTGTGAACAATTGAATCTTGATCACCTTTAATGCATGTTTGCAATTCTAATAGCCAACGAAAGCTGAGTATATTAGGTTGTTTTAAACATAGTGGTTGGAGCCACGACAGTGGAAAGACCATACACTAGTGATTCATGTTCAAGACGGCTCTACACACATCCCATGCAACTATCTTTTCATCATTGCTCCATATGATTGTCCTTTGCCTAACTGATATACCCATATCTTTCATGTTTTTATCAAGGTTTTCACTATGTTTTTAATACAAATAATGTGGTTTTTAAGCCCAAGAGGTAGTTTTCTTGTATATTCTGGTTTTGAGCATCATTCAGGTCAAAATAGCAAAGAAGAGTCAAAATGGAGCAAAAAGAGTCAAATCACCAAGTTCCCAAGTCTAGAGCACCAAATCTACATTTCTCGCTAAAGACCAAACCGGAGCATCCGAAGTACGACCGCATATTCATGCCTTCCCGACGTCCAAAAGTCATGATTCTTATATGGAAAGATAGATATTTGAGTCATGACCCGCGGCGAAGTGGAAAGAGGTCATTTGGATCACTCGTTGGACCGGAACTTATTTTCTACCAAGACATGTCCGACGAGCGCCTAAGTAGAGCCCATGGAGACTTTGATGGATCAAGAGGCCCGAGATACCGCGCCCAAGGCCTTGGCTCATCTTGACACTAGCATAACTCAATCCAGAAGCTTCCATTGGCCTGAACGCGGCCCATTCAAGAACTTGGAGAGCAAGCTCAAGCGGCTAAAGAGAAATGGAAACTTTCCTCTTCTGCGCGCGCTCAACTTTGCCGACCTAGACCCGCTCTCTACCTATATATACTTGCTTTTAGCCTCTTGTAATAAGAATCACCAGCCGCATAACAAGAAACACTTATTCAATAAAGTTCGGAGCCACTTAGGTGGTCTCCTTCTTCTTTCTTTTCTTCTTTTGCATTTGTATATAGCTTGCATGTTTCAATTTATATAGTCTAGAAGTAGAGATTTCTCCCTAAGGGTGAGGCGGTTTAGTCCATATTCCGCCGCCTCTCTCTCTAAGGATTCATGAGACTTCATCTACTATCTAAGACTCATTGTTGAATTATGGATCCTTCCAATGAGGACGTGATATAATGGCCATCGAAAATCGATTGTTAAAAGGGGAAACCCTATGGTTCTCCATCTTTATTTATGCTTAATGCTTGTTGCTAGAGTAGCTAACTAGTGACTTGATTTTAGGTTGATATACTCTCCAAAAGCTTGTTATATCTCCGGACACAATATTTGATGGGCAAATCGTTTTAGGCTACGAAAGTAGACCTAAAGAGTTTTGTGAACAATCATTACTTGGATGTAATGCATGTCTCACTCTACAATGACCAACGAAAGCTGAGCCCATTGGTTTAAGAGACATAGGGGATTGGAACCACGAAAGTGGAATAATCCTTCCTTAGTGTTTTGAGTTCAAAAGAATCGGATTTTAACAAACTTTTCAATCGACTTGGCTCATGTTTTCAAAAGAGTTTTCAATAGTTCAATAATGTTGCTTGTATAGAATTGCATTGTTATTTGCTTTTGCGTGTTCTAAACAAACACAAACCCTTGCATCTTTTGATTTAGCTTAGTCATTTAAACTCTATGATTATGTAATGTGTGAAATCCAATCCCTTGTGGTTCGACCCCTAAATACTACAATTATATGTTGTGCACTTGCAACACTAGTTGTCTTAGGGAATTATTACTTGTACTCATCCCATAAGATGCAGCGCAATCACTAACTCTTGTTTTAAATTGTTTACAACCTCACTTCACATTTCTTTTGTTTCACTTTCTCATTCTAGGTCCCAAAACCATCTCATATTGCGAGCTAGCTACAAACCAATCTCACAAGGTGTTAAGTGAGAACACTTCCTCCTCGTGTTCGACCCCGACTACAACACGGCTGTGCACTTGCAGCTCATTAGTTGGGTTTATAAATTGTGAAAATTTGAGGCAATCTAAACCCGCCATCAAGCTTTCTGGCGCCGTTGCCGGGGAGGAGTTGCTTTTCCTTCACACCTCTTGATTGATTTCAAGACTAGCTCATCTCATCTTTCACTTTTCTTTGTTTTTGTTTTTCATAAAATCTTAAAAACCATAAAAATTTTACTTAACTCTCTCTCTTTGTGTGTTTCTAAGGTGCATGACAAGAAGGTCCAATCCAAATACAACCATTGAAGAAGATCTTGACATTGACCAACTTGAGCGCACACTTAGGCGGCTAAGAAGAGAAAGAATGAATCCAGGCGGAGAAGGCGCGCCAAATAGGCCACACAACCCGCCCGACCAAGAGAGGAGAGCCAATGATCCTCCTAATCCAGCAGAAGCTAGAGCTGACCAGCCAGCACCGGCCAGAGACGTTCCTCCGCCCAATCCGAACGCGCCCGATGCAGCTGAGCCGCTACAGCCACCTCTTAACCCGCCGCGACCACCACCGGCGTTTGCAAATGGACATCATCGTCACGGTGACAACCAAGGGATGCCTCAAGACCAACCTCACGCACCTCCAAGGAGAGTGCCAAACGCGCAGCATCCAAGGCACCAAACTATGGGAGACTTTGATTCGTCCGATGCTTTCTTTATGGATCGGAATCCAATCCGACCGCCTCTACCTCCAAGGAACGATTTTGAGATCAAACCGCAGATCATTGCCTTGGTGAAGCAAAACCAATTCCATGGTTTGCCCACTGAGCATCCTCTTGATCACGTCGACACCTTTGAGGAGATATGTAGCACAACTCGTGTTAATGGAGTATCGCCGGATTACTTCAAGTGCAAGCTATTCACTTTTTCTCTAAGTGACAAGGCGCTAAGATGGGTAAAATCTTTACCACCTCAGTCCATTACAACATGGAATGAATACAAGGGAGCTTTCTTGAACCAATTCTACACTAAGCAAAGATCCAACTCTATAAGGAGCAAGATTTCTGGTTTCAAGCAAGATTCAATGGAGTCATTCTATGAAGCTTTGGAGAGATTCAAGGAGTACACAAGAAGCTGCCCTAACCATGGCTTTTCAGAAGGTAACCTTTGGAACATCTTTTACAATGGGATTGATCATAAATACAAGCTTTCTCTCGATACCGCGAGCAATGGTAATTTCATGACCAAGTCGGTGCCGGAGGCAAAGCTTTTGATTGAGAATCTCGCTGCTAGTGATGCCAATGCGTGCCCTGACTACAATAGAAGGCGTGAAGACCACGAGCTCATCAGAATCAGCTCAAATCTCGGAGCTAAGGAACATGGTCTCACAACTACTTAAAAGCCGACAAGGAGTTCACGCCATTGAAGATGCCCTAGCCACAAATGAAGACACTCTTATGGATTTCATGAGAGATGGCGCTGAAGAGAATCTAGAGGAAGTCAACTACATTGGAGGAAACTATGGGAATAGAGGATTCAATCCACCATTTCGCGCGCATCCAAACCTATCATACCGGAGCAACAATGTGGAGAATCCAAATGACCAAGTCTACCCCAATCAAGGAGCGTACAAGGAGGCCAATACCAATCCAAGCCACAACAAGTCTATCCAAGAGGGATGTACCAAGTGAAGCAACCATTCACTTTTTCTCAAGAAACAAATCCAACCCAAACCGGAGAGAAAGTTGACGTGGCCTTGAAGAAATACATGGAGGAGCAGAGATTGATCACCAAGAACCTATATGAGAAGCTTGATCACATGTTTGGTGATCTAAGCAGCAAGTTTGGGTCTCTCTCTACTCACGTTCAAAAGCTTGAGGTGCAAATCGCTCAAACAGCCGAGGCGGCCAAGAAACAAAATGAGGTAAACACTCAAAAATTTTGTAGTGTTGTCTCATCTATAGATGGCACAATTGTTCCTACACTATCTCAAGGGGAAGAAGAAGAAAATGAGCCTAAGGAGAGGCACAAACCGGAGAGATACAGTTGGGAATCAAGAAGAGCTTACAAGAGAAGACTTGAAGGCAAGCCACTACAAAAACAAGAAGATCCGGGGAAGTTTGTGATAACTTCAAGTATCAATGGCATTCAACTCCACGATTGCCTATGTGATACTGGTGCTAATGTTAATCTAATGTCTCTTGCACTTGCAAAAGATTTGGGATTCAAGGAATTCAAGAGCCCCAAGATAAGAGTCGAGTTCGCGGACCTATCGTGCATGGAACCGTATGGAATGCTTGAAGATGTCATGATGGAAATAGGGGGTCGATCAGTCCCAACTGACTTTCAAGTCATGATTTGGGAAGGCTCAAAGAGGAATCAACTGATTCTTGGAACCCCATTCCTTGCTACAGCTGGAGCGGTCCTAAACTACTTTGGGAATCATCTATCTTTTGGCCACATCCGGCAAGATATCTTTTTCCCAAGTGTAAATTTCAGGTCAGTGCCAAGTGCGACCAAGCTACCACCAGAAGAAGCCACTCTCATTACCAAGAAAGAAGCCGTATGCTGCATGGAGAAAGAAGAGAGAGTGAGCGCTACCCAAAACCAAAGGAGAAGAAGAAAACATTGGAGCCGAGGCATGAAAATGTCTTTAAGGAATCAACTCCATCTTACTTCCAACCTTTGATGAGTATGGAGCTGAAGAGGAGACTAATGGTGCACCTAATCTCTTTCACAAGATAAGAATCTTTACACCAAAAGATTCGGAGCTTAAAGGTGACCAATCCATTGAAGAGAAGCTTGAGAGAACTATGAAGCTTTTCCCCAAGGCATTGGTTTTCAAAGATGATGTGAGAGATGACTATGGCGCGACAACAACCACCACAAGAAGCCACTGAACCGGAGAATGGAGAAGCTAAAGGGATCCTTTGCCCTTCAGCCACTCTTCACCACGATTGAAAGAAAGAGAAGCTAAATGACTTAAAACAAAAGCGCTTTATGGGAGGCAACCCATATGGTTTTTAACTATTATTTCTATTTTGCAGGAGTTTTTCAAAAATCAAACAAAAATACAAAAATATTTTCTTAGGATGAAGACCCAAAGGAGACCAAACAATGGAAGTGTCCCACCCAATGAGCCCACCCTTGTACAAGGCGTTTCTCTTCCAAAAGGTAAGTAAACTCTCACCTAGTATTCATTTCTAATCACTCTTGATCTTCACTTGAAAAATCGTTTAAACCATTGCACTTTATCAAATATATTTCATGGTTTAACTTGATTTACTTTGATGATTGGAAAGAATACATAATCACTTGTCAAAACTCATTTCTCACTGAAATTACAAGAGATTGAACTATAGTTTGAAATTTGGATCATTGACCAAGACCAAATAAGAATTTATAGTTTGTGCTTTAATCTCTTGGATTGTGAACTTCAAGTTGGTCACTTGAGGATCACAATCTGAGAAACCATCTAATCATGATTTCAAGTGTTTTGCAAGGAGTTAACCATTTGACAGGAAGGAGAAATAAGCAAACCTATAACCACCTCAAAACCAACATGCATATGGCGGCCAAAGGGAGGTTAAAAGGAGATACATAGGCCATCACACGAAACAAGGCGGCCACCACTTGGGAATGACACAGGAGGGTTATTAAAACAATTCGGTCGAAGAAAATCTCAATTGGCCCGAGTGGATTTGAAGAAATTCAATCCAGGACATTTCTCTCGGCCATACCGCGCACAAGGAGACCAATTACGGCCAACTCCTAAACGGCGTGACCAAAGTCCACCAAACTTCACAGGCGACCATAAAATCACATTTTGGTCGGCAAATCCAAAAGATAGGACGGAGAAATCATCACGGATCATGAGATAGACGACGGAGCTCATTCTGGCCGATGGCGCGCAAGCAATATGGCCGACAAAACCAAATCACGGCATAGGCGCGCCAACCGGTTGGAAAACTCTTCTTTGAGCTTAACTAACACTTTTATGCAGGAAGAAACGAAAAGGAACGAGCCAAACTTCACATGGCCAAGGAAACTCCTTCCCGGAGCCGACTTGACCATTTTGTGAAGGAAGTCTCAATCCGCTCGTACAAATGCTCCCAAACTTCACCAGAGGCTCATAAAATACCAGGTTGGTCGATGAAATTTCAATATAGGTCATGAAATTTTTGACGGTTTGTTCTGTAGTTCACAGCACCACATTTTGGCCGACCGAATATACCAATCTCGGCCAAAACACAAACCGGCGGAAACCAAGGCCTGAAATTAAAAACTCACCGACCAATATTGCCTAAAGAAGTGTAGAATGACCCAAACCGGAACTGATCTTCATTATAAATTGGTCGACAATTTGGTAACATCATCCTAAACCTTTTTCTTTTCAATTTTTCATTTGAACTTCATGTTATGCCTCTCTTAATCCGATTTGATTTCACCGGGACGGTGCAAGTTAAGTCTGGGGGGATTACTAACAATGTTTGTTCATTTTGGCATTTTCATTTGCATTTTTCCCTTTTATCGAGTCGTTTTTATTGAGTCAAAATTTTTGTCGAGAATCATGACCTTATCTTGGATCTAACCATGGTTGTACTAATGTTTAAGTGACCATTGAGCAGTTCTTGGCAATACATCTTACCACAGGTGCACTATGAGTTGATCGATCTACCAAAAACGCCTACATCTCTAAAGACTTGAGAAGGATCCATCTTTGACTCCGCCCTTAATGAACTTAATCTTCTCAGCTAGGGGCTTGGCATACAAATGGCATGATTCCTCATCCTCTCCATCAAATGAAAAAGTCTTAGTGAGTTCGTGCTTCCCTCTCTCTCCCCTTCAAATTTAAAGAAAAAGCGTAAGGTCCAAGTAACCGGGGATTCGGTGGCAAACACCATCAATACTCGCGTCTATGGAAGGCCTATGAATCCAAGCAACCGGGGATTCGGTGGCAAACACCATCAATACTCGCGTCTGTGGAAGATCCAAGCAAAACCTCTATAATAAAGAGAAGGAGTTGAATAAAAAAAATACTTCGCTACCCTAAAAAAGGGATGAATCAACTCAAAGAAGTGAGAAGAGAGAGAGGAGAAACATGGAGTAAAAGACAAGTGCCAAACAAGGGGATGAGTAAAGAATCTAAAAGCCGGCTGATCGATACTCCCTAGTTGAGACCACACCTTTAGAAATGAAAGGAGTCAAGGGTGGCGAATTGGATTGTCCAAGGAGAGGTGGACCGCTTTGGGAAAATCGCAAAACTCATGGTATGTACTTTGTTCTTAATTCAAAACTTGCCAATGCTGTTTCATGTGGATTACTAAAGCATAAGTCAATTTGGATTTCCAAAAGATTTGAGAGTTCTCACGTTTTCAAACCTCTTTTCCTGCTTAGTTTGCTTGGGGACAAGCAAAAGGCTAAGTCTGGGGGAGTTGATATCACCATATTTTACATGATTTTACTATATAATTACCTATGTTTTCAAACGGTTTTTGCAAGATTCTTTGCCTTTAGAGGTAGTTTTCTTGTATTTGTGGGATTTGAAGTCTTTGTAGGTGAAACCATCAAAAAGGATGCAAAAAGGAGTAAAAGAGCCCTAAATCAAGATCCATGCAAGTTTCCAAGTCAAGAAGATCATTTTATCTCCAAGTGTTAGTTCTCGCTAGCGCGCAGAACGAAGCTTCGGAAGTTTGGCCGCGCGCGGAGGAGTTCCCGACGTCCAAAAGTTACGATCTTGATATGGAAAGATAGATACTTGAGTCATGCATCACGTCGAAGTGGAATGAAGCCATTTGGATCAACTATGAGGCCTAGACTTATTTTCTACCGAGACATGTCCGGTAAGCGAGTAAACGAAGCCCATGGAGGATTTGGAGTGTCTAATGGCCCGAGCAGCAGCGCCAAAGGCCTTGATCGAATAGAGAAGAGGCCTGGCTAATGTTTGGAGCTTTCCTTGGTACAATGTCGGCCCATACACGACGTGGAGAAGAAGGCTTTGCTCATGGGAAACTTTCCTTTTCCGGCATGAAGAAAACCCTACGCGACTTCGCCCATATATACATGTTTTTAGCCGCTGAAGAAGAGAGTCGAGTCCGAAAATTATCAAAGAGTGTACGTGTGAGAAGAGAGTTCAGAGGAGAGAAGCCCTAGGAGATCGTCCAAGAAGAAGGAGGCGCCGCTCAACTCTTGTTCTTTCTTTTTCATTGTTTCCATTTCTATAAACTTGATTTAAGAGTTTTCAAGGGAGAATCCGACTTTGTTCATCAATAGAGAAGCTTTCTTCATCCCTTTATCTCTTTTAATACTTGCATAATGTTTACAATCATGCTTTGCTTGCTTGTTTGCATCATGGCCGAGTAGATCTCTTAGTTAGGCCGAGGAGATCTATGGTGGCCGTGATGATTTGATTGTGTTGCAACTTATTGGGATTTATCTTATGGATCTTCACCTTTACTTGAGCTTAATGCATGATTACTCTACCGTACATCTAGTAATCTGATCTTAGAGAAATAGAACCACGACAGTGCTGAATCTAGATCTC